GGGAATCTGATCACACCTCGCTGTCCCGGGAAATCAAAAGCTTGGGAAGAGGGAATCCCGGGATTCCCCGGGTTTGGTGGGAGCAGAGGACGTGGGATGTGTGGGAAAAGCTCCAAAGAGCCTGGAATGACTTTGTGCCTCTCCAGGGATGGCTGGGAGGGATTGGGAAGGTCCCTGTAAATTGGGAATGATCCCGGGGGTCGGGAGCATCCTTAGAACGATCCCTGGATCTCCCCCCCGCCCCCCCTTGTTTGTGTTGGGGCCTCCAGGGGTCGGCAGATGGTCGGGAGTTGTTAATTCCCGGCATCCGGAGGGAATTTAATCCCTGCCCGAGGCTCGGGGAGGGACGAGGCAGCTGCTCCGGGATGGGGGAGTTGGGATCGGGGCGGGATCTTGGGATTGGGAGCTCGAGATTGGGATGTTGGGATCTTGGGATGGGATCTTGGGAATGGGGCTCCCAGCTCCTCTCCGTGGGATCCCCTGGGGAGGGAATTCCAGCACGGAGCTGGAATGGTGCCTCAGATCCCAGGGATTGCCTGGATTCCCAGGGATTGCCTGGATTCCCAGGGATTCCCAGGGATGGGCAGGAATTTGGGGGGTGCTCCTCCCGTTCCCCCACCTCGTGCTCCCATTCCCACCTCCCAGAGATTCCAGGATTTAATAAATTCCCCCCTTTCCCTGTCACTTGGGAAATATCCAGTTGGTCCCAGCTCCTTCCCGAGCTTCCCCGGGGCTGCTTCCAGGGAATTTGGAGAGATCCCTTTTTTTTTTGTTTGTTTGTATTTTGGAGGAAAAGAAGGGGGAAAAAAAAATCCACCCAAACCAAATCCCGACTTTATTTTCCAAGTGGCTTTTTCCTGCTCCGTGCCTGGGGATTTTGGGGGATTGTTGTGGGCTCTGATCCCGGTGGATCCTTCCAGCTCGGGATGTCCAGCGATTCCAAACTCCTGGAGAGGAGGGAAGAGCTGCAGAAATCCCCCCCCAAAACGGGTTTTCCCTCCCCACCAGCTGCTGGGAACTGGGGGGGGGTGAAGGATTTTCTGGGAGAAAAGCTGTGCCAGGTGCTCCAAGCCTGGAATTTCTCTCCCCTCCTCAGTATCCTGAGGATTTTCTAGGATGTGTCCCCGGGGAGGAAGGATTGGATAACCCCGGGAATTTTTTTTGGGGGGGGGGATGGGGGTGAATAACCCACTTCAAACCAGTTGTTGTCCTGGGTGCCAGAGGCCTTTGGAGCAGAACAGGGATCTTGGATCCAGAGAGGCCCTTGGGGCAGGGAATCACTTCCCAAAGAACAGCTGGAAGGGCTGGAATTCCGCTCGCCCGGCCCAGCCCGGCCATTCCCGCTTTTCCAGAGCCAGGCCCCGCAGGTTCCCTGTGCGTGTATTCCCGGCATTCCCAAGGCTCCGTGGGCCCAGGGACACAGGGCCAGGCTTTGTCCAAGGTTTCCTGGGAAGCCGATCCCGTCACGTGGCGCCGGGAGCGCCGCGGCCTCGGCCACGGGCGGGGGCTCCGGGTGGGAGGGAGGGGGGGGGGGGGGGGGGGGGGGGGGGGGGGGGGGGGGGGGGGGGGGGGGGGGGGGGGGGGGGGGGGGGGGGGGGGGGGTTTAAACCTGGCTTAACCCCCCCCCAAAGGGTCGGGAAATGAGCTGGGAAAACCTCCCCGGGCTCGGGGAGGGCAAAGGGAAAAGGGGCTTTTTAAAAATAACCGGGTTTTTTTTTTTGGGATAGTCCCGGCCTTGGGAATCGCTCTGGCAGAGAGGGTGGGGGGGGGAGATCGAACCCCGGGCCGGGCTCAGCCTCTCCCAGGAATAAAACCAGCACTTGGGGGGAGCTCCAGGGGGGAGTGTGGACCCCTTCCAATCCCCCAGGGAAAACACAACCCCCGGGTTTGGTTTTTTTTTCCGGGTTCTCCAAGGGCAGGATCCTCGGGATGTGGTTTTGGGGGGGGGGATAGAGGGGTTA